AAGAAAAAAAAAAAACTTTCCGTCTCGCTCTCTCGCTCTCTTTCCCCTCTATCGCAATTCTCTCGATCTCTCTTTCCCTCTCGCTTCGTCTTCGTCTCCCTCCCTCTCCGTTTGGAAATTTTTTGTTGTGTTATTCGAAGTCAATATTGTGGGAATTGAGGTCCCCGACCTCTTCCCGCCGCCGTTACTGCCATTGAGGCTGTCCGCCGAAATTCGCGCGGCTAAGAGCCGCTGCCGCTGGGCGGCTGTTATTAATAAAAAAAAATTGGGATTGAAGCCGTGAAGCCGCTGCCGGAGATTGAAGCCGCTACCGCTGCGGGAGATTGGAAGGGTGCTGACGCCGGGAGGTGGAGGAGAGGAGAATTCGGATCTTGGGACGGGGAGGGAGTATATTTCTGAGAAGTTGCGGGAGGTTGAAGAAGATGATTTCTGAGATTTTTTTTCGTTTCATTTATTTTGGAGTATATGTACAGTATATTTTCGGTTTTTTTTTTGTTATATGTATATCTTCGGTATATCAAAGTGTATATTTGTTGCTTTTTTTTTTATTTTTTATTTTTTTTCTATCTTGTGTTCACTGTGAATTGGTATATTTGTTATGTTTTATGATAAAATATATAACGGTTATATATATGATATATATGTTAGGGTTATATGCTCGGTTACAGAACATTGTTCAGTTTTGGTATATGTCGGGTATATATGTAGGGTTACATGTCTGGTTATGTTCTGTTTCTGGTATATTTCTGGTATATATGTAGGGTTATATGTCTGGTTACATAACATTGTATTGTTATTGTAACAACATGCGGTCATGCGAAATCAAAAAAAGGATTTTGTTTTTTTTTTATAACAACATCGTAATTCACGGTGGAGAGAGAGAAGATGGTTTGGTTTGATAAGGTAACTGAAAGCATGAATTACAGGGAGAGAGAGAAGATGCTTAGGCATCAATATAATTACTTTTTATCTTTTAGGCATATACATAAATTTATTGGTTTCAATGGTAAACTTGCAATTACTTAAAAATCAATAAGTATAAATGAAAATTTCCCATGAAAATTTCTCTGGATCTTTGACATAAATATGAGATTGGAATTTAATCCTACAAGAAGGAAAAAAAAAAATAACAATAGGTTGTTTGAAACTATCAAATTAAGTCATAGACTTAACAAAATCTATAACACCGTTAAATTGAGAGTTAAAAAATAAATAAAAATAAAAGACTGGTGTTTACTCACATAAAATAATAAGTAAACATTTGCATAATATTATTAAAAAAAAAAGAAATGGGCGATAGCAAGGAAACCGAGCAAGAGCTTCATACTTTCCTTAATTTTCTCCAACAATCTCGTATTTTCCTTATTTTTTTTATTTTAATTACTTTGTATCATATTTGGTGTTTTAAAACTTCAAATGAACTCTCAATTTAATGGTGTTATGAGTTTTGTTAATTTTGGGACTTAATTTGATAGTTTTATAACATCTAGGTCCCGAATTAAAAAAATAAAATTCTTCCAGGCCTCGAATTGATAGTTTAACTATCTTTCATGTCTTGTATTAAAAAAACTCCTATTAAAATTCATTAAAAAAATAAAATTATTTTTCAATTGATATATTTATGTTTAATGTAGTTATATGTTGTAAGTTAAAAAAATTATTATAATATAACATAAGTAAGTCGCACAAACAAAAAGTATCAATATAAATATATAATAATATATATATTTTTATATAAGGTATATAAACTTTAAACTACTTTTTCTCAATAATTTTAAATTAAAAAAAAAAAATAGCAAGTGTCCATGTAATACACGAGCGTTGTAGTAGTAAAATTTAAATTTCAATTAATTTTGAACGATAAAAATAACTTAAGAAAAAATAATAATGTTTATATGATAGAAGTACATGTCTAATTAATAAATACAAACAAAAACGTATTTTATATTGTGCAAATGTATAAGATCAAATACTAGTTATGATGATTATTTACTTGAGTTTAGTGATTTTATTAAAAATAAAATTGTGGTTATGTACGAACTACGAAGTGACACTTTTATTATAATTATTATAACAATTCCAAAAGTAGGGGAAAGAAAAATCAAAAAAGAAGAGTACAAAAAGGTAAAATTTTCAAATAGAGCTGCGCCTCGTTTGCTGCTAATAATGTTAAAAAAAAAAATAAAAACAAAAAGTTACACTTTTAATATTTTCTAATGTCAATCACCTTTAAGTTATTGTGCATGTGATCGGACCAAATCGTGCCACGACAATATGAAACTATACGACTTTTGAAAAATTATCAGTCAAAAGATAACATTTGTTGACCTATTAAATTATAGATAAATGTCACAGTCTCGTTATAGAATCATTCCGTCAGGATTTGTAACCGTTAGATCATCATGTAACCGTGGTGGATGGTTAATCTAACGGTTACAAACTCAATGAAATAATTCTGTAACGGGACCGTAGAATCTCCATAAATTATAATAACGTGCTTATTAGTGAAGAGAAATATTTTAAAAAATAGATAACTAAATGCAAGGTTTCTTCTAGAAATTAGGATGATTAGTCCTTTGGTCCATCAATTTATTTACAGTTGTAAACGAGTCGAGTTGAACTCGTTAACATATAAGTCTGTAAACAAGTTTGAATCTTGTTTTTATTAATATATAACGAGCGAAGATCAAGTCTTTAACGAGTCAAGTTATAAAAAAATTACGTTTAATTTTTTAAGTCTTGACAAGCTAAATTCGAGTCGAACCAAGCTTACGAGCAAATTAATTTTAGACCGAGTAGTTAATTAATTAGGAG